ATCAGCAGGTCGATGCCCTCGCTACACAAAGGTGGGGGCGCCATGCTTTGCTTGGCCGCCTGGGCATGAAGTCCATGTTTGCAAGGGATGGATGAAAATCCACCAGGAACGGAGTTTACCAACCCAAAGCCCACAGCCACCTAGCCCAGAATCGCCAGACACCAGACCTCCGGTAGTGCAGGTTGTCCTTTTTTCTGGGTTGGGGTTCCCTTCAGAATCAAACAACCAACAAAAGCTTGCGCGTTTTCCCGCCTTGTTTTCCCACGTGTTTTCCTCTCAGTCCCAACGGAGAGTTTCGTGTCAGGAAAGGAGGACCTGAAGGAACAGGCGGGCTCGAAGGGGTTCGGGATGTGACCTTGGTGCAGGCGGATTTATCAATTTATCTTCTGCCTTCCCTGGTGTGCCTCTTCGGTCATTGCCAAACAGCACTTGACAATTCGCAAATCAGAGACAGAGGATCAATTGCCTTCCGAAGCATTCCTGACTCAAACAACTGAACCTCCTGCAAAGTCAAGCACACCCGCAGGGTTGTCCAAGGGTTTCTCCAAGGTACTGATGAGCCAGGCTAGTGTTAAACCAGGCTCGGTCATTTCAACAACCATGTTTAGTTCATTCTAACTTCTTATGGAACACCCTGGCTGGCCTCTGAACATTCCTAGCAGACACGTTGCCATCCTTTGGTGCGCGGCGTTACCAGCAGCTGAGCGGCATCCGAAAATTGAGCGCCTTGTGGATTGTAGACTGCAACCCTTTTTTGAGGTCCCCTACTGCAGCGTTTCTCAAAATACGAGATCCGGGTACCTCAAAGCGGGCCCCATGGTGCAGAGGGAAGCCAACTGGAAACCAGGCAGATTTGCCCGAATCCAAACCACAAACTCAAGGTGTCTCTTTCAACGGATTCCTTTTTTGGAGGCTTGTTGAAGACCAAACAAGAACTGGTGTCCCTTTGAAAGGTATTTTCTTTCGAATCTTTTTTTTAAGGGTTTTCTTTTTGGAGGGCTGTTCCAGAAGAAGAAAAGCTGTGCAAACCCAAAGGAAGGCCGGAACCGGGGCCTCGTTTTGGGCGCCAGGAGAAGCTCCGGCCGCCGCGACCGCCGCGGGCGCCCAACCCCGCGGCGCCCAAGCAGCCCTTGGCATCTCGGATCGAGTCGCTGCGTGAGTCATTCGGCTGTGCCATTCGGATTTTTAACGCCTGATTCGGCGTTCCAAGCGGTTTCCCAACCAGGTTTCCCAAAAACAAAACCAAACAAATGAGGTGCCCGCAAGAAGTAGTATGGGACGACCCCGTGGAGCTTCCGCGAGGGATGGTTCCATGGGCTACGGGCCGGCTCGAACGAATCTCATGTGAACATTCTGATCTAGAAACGTCTCTTCACAGGTGGGTTTGAAGGGGAATCTTATATATATATATATATATATATATGCGCGCATGTACAATGATATACATGCGTCTTTCTCTCGCTCTAGATGCACATGATATACATTGCATATCTGGACTGAATACTTTTCTTCAGTGACTTGACGAACCATGATCCCCATGATCTGGTCAGCGTCTGGAACCCGCCTCCGACCCAGGCGGTTTTATGCGTCACCATGACCCACGCCAAACTTCCCTTCCATACGGGTCTGTCTGTCGGGCGGGTACCCGTTCTTTTGTTCAAAGGGGAAACGGGAACACCTCCATCTTGGCAGCTCATTTTAAGACAGACCCATGTAGGGTTTTCGTTCTGGGTCAGCAGTCAGTCCTGGTCCCAAGCTTTGGTCCAACCAGGGTGAACCATGCGTTCAAACGTGTCAGTTTAGGTAACCTTAACATGTTATCTGTTGTTTAATCTAATAAAGGGAGGAGACCCCAGTTTGGGGGTTGGGAACCATGTGGACGAGTGCTTTTTTGCGGGTACTCTTTTTATGTTGTAGTTTGTTGACTTTGCTTGGTCCTGTTCATTGTTCGAGTGTGGCTGCAAGGATGTTGAGTCTGGCTGCAAAGATGTTTCGCTGACGTACCAGGCGTTCCGGAAGAGAAGAGTCACTCTCAGATAGTGTCCAGGGGAAAATGGGGCACATATACACTATATAGTGGCTGCATAGTGGCTGCATAGTGGCTGTGTATCCCAGAAACCCCTTGGGGTAGTGGTTTGCGGGCAGTGGTACCCATCTTAGAGTCACCACTGAGACTGTTTTGGTCTGTTGCTTCCGTTTTTTGCGGGGCTCGGGTGGCGTCGTGCCAACGTGGCAAGTCTCAGGTCTCCAAATCCACCTCCGATGCAAACCGAGTGCGCAGCACCCATGCGCAGCGCAGGCCGTTGGGGGCGCGGCCTCTTCCTATGTGAGCTTTGGGGATGTTTGGCACCCTTTTGAAAGCCAGTGGGCCCAGGGAGCCTGAGCAAGGCTCTTGGAGAAGGAAAAATGCATGATCCAATCGTGAGAATGCAACATGTTTGAAGCACGGATTTGCAAATGTCACCCATTGTGTGGTACCGGCGAGGTTTGCCACTGGAATCCGGATACCCAGGGAAAGCTCCAAGGGGGATGCATTTGGGCCACTTAAAAGGCAAACGAAGGGAACCAGAAGGAATCCAAAGGGAAAGCACAATATATTTTTTGCTGGTTCGTTTTTCTTTTTTGTTTGGAGGGGGGCGGGGTACATGTAGTGTGTCCCATTTCGTTTTGACACGCGGTTTTGTCGAAAACATGGAGGCATGCCTGAAAATGAGGAAGTGGACACTCCGGAATCCAATGTCTTCCCTTTGGCTTCCCTTTGAAACTCAAAAGGCCTCAAAATCGAGCCTGCCCAAATGAGCCGTGCGCCCCTCTCCACGAATCTGGGTTCGGGCCCAAGAATCCGGATTTGTCTATGGTTTATGTGAGAGGGACGTTGTTCAGTGCAGGGGACTCCAATTTGTCCATGTCCAGCAGGGTAGCTGTACATGGCTCATATGTTGAGGTCGTTTGCCGTTTGCCTTTTCATGTTCTAGCGTGCCTTCAAAGCAAAGCGTGCTTTGCTGACATACCAGGGGCTGATCCGAAGGAAGAGACACCAACTGTTTGTGAGAATGGTCTCACTTTGCCGCTGGGGGGGGGGGGTGTGGAGATTCCAACTGGATGCATAATGTTCATAGCGTTTTTGTGCAGATGTTGCTTGTGTTGTGTTTGTTTTGTGTGGGTGATTAAGATAGTTTAACCCTTCCAAAGCCAAACTCGCAATCTCTGCTGGTCAAAGGCAGCCCAAAGGAAAGGGTAAACTTGCAGACAAGGTATTGTCCACAGGATTCGATGGATGTGTCAAAATACGGGTAGCCGATGACGGTCTTCCTTTTGGCTTCTCTTTAAATCTACCGCAGAAAGGACGTCGGCAACAAGCAGAAACCCAAGCTGCACAGTCGGATCCGTCCGGAAGCTCGCGGATCAGCGGCAGGGAGCAGCTGAAGCCCCTAGAGTATGACCCCTCCCTGGGGGATGAGCTTCGTGTGCGCGACGAGCTAGGCTCGCGGTGTTTCGTGTCGTGTTTGCGGCTCTTGGATCGACTTGCACGCGGAGGCGTTTCCATGGGGGTCAAAATTGAGAAACCCAAAAGGGCCGTTTTTTTGGGGGGGTGTTTTGTTCTATGATTACTGGGCATTGAGGAGTGCCCAATTGGCTGAGCATCCGGTAACACCGGGAAGGTCGGCTGACGTGTTTGTGAGCACTTGTTAGGCTGAATGACAAATCCTTGGAGTTGCACGATTTCCCATCGGAACCGAATCTGCACGCTAAGCCCGTGGGCCCCGGAAAAATGTGTCCTTAAAAAAACTTGCCATTCCGAATGACAAAAGGCCCAACCACCTTTTGCTCAAGGCTTGGAGCACAGGTTTGTGGTGCCAAATTTTGGCACGGAGACACCCGCGACAGGAAACCGATTGATTCAGAGCCGTGGGAAGGTCCAGGCAGGCATCCCAGTCGCTCTCGATCGGTTTCTGCAGGCAAGCTGCTGTCCTTCACCAAGTAGTCGGTTTGGAGCCCAGGTCATTGACAGCCTCTCGAAATGTGTTCATCATGTCATGTCCCCATGTTTCCCAGCAAAATCACGGTGTTGTTGCTTTGGGATGTTAAAGGGGAGGTGGACAAGATGCAAGGTCCGAGTCTTCCGCCATCCTGCGTGAGCCTTGAGATGTTATGGCCGGGCTGCCCCTCTGTCCACTCGTTTTCTTCGCAAGAGGGGACTGTGAGGCAGCCGGGCAGAGAGTTATGTGCCGATTGCCAACGCAAGCCGGCCAAATCCAGCGGATTGGCGCATGTCTCAGAGAGACGGAAGGCGCCATGTATTGTAGGTCCGACGCCATGGCCTTTTTTGGGCGTTAAAAGGCCGTCGGTGTGCTCGGTGTGCTCGGTGTGGCAGATGCACATGTTGATGCAAGCTGATTTTGCATGGTTTGGCTGGCTTTTTGAGGGAGAAGCGCAGGGATTGGAACCATGCAACGAGCAAGCGACCGGGAGCCTTCCCACACTTCCCGCATGACAAAAATTCCATACGTCTAACACCTGGGTCTGTCTCAGAACCGGGGGAACCTTTTTCTTTTTTGGATGGCTTTGGGAAACCAAAGGAAATCAACCTGGAAACCACGGCCCAACTCATTTTCAGAAGCATCCACAAGGGTAAACTGTTGGTACTAGGGGTGATCTCCCATTCTGCTCAACCTCTGTCTTTTTCAATTGCCAGCCGTTTCCATAAAGAACCACTCACGTAGGATTTGCCCTTCCCACTGGAAGTGTGGATGGACAAAACGGTACGAAACGCACCAGTTCAGGGGCTTGATCAGTGTTGCACGTAAAATTTGGATGATGAAGTCTTGGGTTGCCATAATAACGGGAAACCAGAAAATACAAAAACAAAACAAACAAAACAAGAGGGGCCCCTCTTGAACAAGACTCGGAAAAAACAACAACCAAGAGGGGCCAAGAGCTTTGCGAAAGAGGCCAGAAAAAAGGGGGACAAATGGAGAAAACAAAAAAACAAGAGGGCCCCTAGTTCTGAGCAAGACTGGAATCCCAGGGGGATTCCGTCAGCCTCTCCCTTGAGCCATGGACTCGCTTCAGGGAGCGGGTATGTGGGCATCTGCGGTGCTGGGCCCGGACGGCTTCACCTACTGCCTGCCCTGCAACGCCCGGCAGGTGTCGATGGGGTCGATGGGGTCGGCCGAAATCTGTGGGTTTCCGGATTTGTTTGCTTTTTCTGGGAAAGAAGCAGGTAGGGGAAGTGGATTTGTTGGATGATTTTTGTGGGTTTTGGGGGAAAGAAGCAGGTAGGGCAAAGTGAACAGGAAAGCCCAACAGCTGCCCTTTCCTGCTTCTTGTTGTCCTAGGAGTTCCTCCCATTCCCCTTGTTTGGAACCTCTAAAAGTGGCGATCGTGTCAACGGAAGCCAGTCAAATGCAGCTTTTGAAGGGGAAATCCAGTTGACCCCTGTTAGATTCCGGGGAAGGCCAACAGGGAACGCCAACAGGGAACGCCAACAGGGAACGCCTGAGACAGGTGCTGCGACTCAGCGAGACGGGAGCCAGCGAGCTAGTCGGCGCCGACTTCGGGGAGGAAACCTGGAAGTGGACGGCGGCGGTGTTGGGCCCCAAGGTGGGGCTGTCGTGTTTTGGTACTTTTTACATATACAAGAGACTCCCATGCAAGTTTTCCGGGAAAGGAAAAGGGGCCCTGTTCCTTTCCTGGAAAACTTGCATGGGATCAAAAGGGGTCTCTTGTATATGAGTGAGGGCTTGAAAGAGTCCATGTGATTTTGCGGGGGAGAAAAAATGTCCCTGGTCTGGTGTTAGAGCCATCGCCATCAGTTGTGTGGCTTTTCGCGGGTCAGGGCACCATTTGGGGCATCCCGGGCAACGCAGAGCGGGTGGTGTGCCTGAACCCCTCCGGCCACATGGAGCTGGTGGGCCCAGTGCTGGAGGGCACTCACAAGCGCCACGGCTGCATTTAGTTCTTTCGGTTTCGAGCCAAACGCTGCCTTAGACTTCCGATTTGGGTTTACCAGAAATTATGGTCTAAGCCACTGAACAATGAGTTGTTGCAAGGGATCAAGGAACCACAAAGTTACGATTGTTCTCACTAATGCGATTGTCATTGTTTTCAGTGAGTATTACTGTAGTAATGTGATTTCTGTTTTGCTGCTATGTGACAATTGCTTTTTCTCACCAGCGGTAGCTATGGGGTCAAGCCGCCAATCCTGGTGTGGGGCAGTGATTTTTCAAGGTTTCCCCTAAATGGTGGGTGGCCATAAATCCCCGCGAAAATGACGTCCACCACGGTGGGGCCCACCCATTGCAAGCCACAGCCACTATTTTGTTTAAGCAGCCGGATTCGGAACCGGGCCCCAGCCAGGGGACTGGTTGGTTGGTCGGTTGGTTGGTTTGGCCGCTGGGCGGCCGCATCCCCAGCATCACCGGCCTCGCTCGGACTAGGGCTGCCTATTGGCTTTGATTTGTTGGCGTTGCCCTAAACCACCCAAAGCAGTCCAAGAATTGCATAACCATGCCCTGAAGCAGCTCAAAGGCTACTGCACAAAACGGGCCGCGCACCTCGCGCAAATCAGCTCCAAGCCCTTTACAAAGCCTACCAAACAAACCCAAGACCCGCCCTCATTATATAAGACCTCAGAAAGCCCAACAATCGCCCGAAACCAGCCCGGAGCAACTCTGAAGTGCCAACAAGCAAAAACCCAATAGGCAGCCCTAGTCCGAGCGAGGCCGGTGATGCTGGGGATGCTGGGGATGCGGCTCATCAACCCGACTTCCAATCTGGCCAAGTGCTGAGCCGGAGTTAGTAAAAAGCCAGGCCCAGGATTCCCGTTTTCTCTTTTAAGGAGCCATGGGACTATAATTACAAACTGATTTAGTTTGAACAATATCCTTCAGTGTCCCTCCAAAAGGACACCATGGGCAGTTTCTCAAAATGAAATCCAAAACCACACAGAAACCGTTGCCATTCTAGGGGGGCCATAAATATTTATCTATGTTTCAGAATTGCCCATTGGCTTCAAGCCATTTTGCTCGCTCGTCCATGGCGATTGACACCGAAGGTGGCACTGTGCAGTACTGGCGCCCGACGGGTGCATCTACGCGCCACCCTGTGACGCCGGACAGGCGGAAAGGACAAAAAATGTTACACGGAGGATCGCTGCCATCTTCCATCAATTTGCTGAAACAAATATTGATGGCTTTCGAGTGAATCAAACAAACACTACTGGAGATGTGGTTTATTGTTTATTTTGCAGGGGGTTTAAGCAAATGGAGGTTGTAAATGACGGTTTGTTTTGTAGGGGGAGACCCTCAAACTATCCTTCAAAGTTGGAAATCGCTCCACAAACTTGGGTCATGGTGAGGGACAAATAGGAAATGGAACCTCAATAGTTGTGAGCAACCCGTTTTCTGGTGCAAATCTCCACGTGTGTGCTAACTGTGTCGGGTGCGGATTCAAGGCAAGCTCACCGATTTGGGAGCCACGCAAAAATGTGAACCACAATTTTGCCACAACCACCAGGAGCCCAACATTTCCCACGAACCCCAATGCCGCAAAACCGGTTCAGGGTTCTGTGGGAAGCCTCGGAAAACAGACCCACCCATAGGTGTCCGTTTTAGGTTAGTTTGGTTTCAAATAGATGGCACTGGTTTAGATTGGTTTTATTCCATTTGCCAGGGCCATCCATTTTTCCAAAAGGACACCTATGGACCCACCCGTTCTACCCCAGCGCCAACTCCCAGCAACTCCCAGCAGGTGCTGCGCATCGACTGCGCGCGGCGGCATGTGGCGCTCATCGGGCCCTTGCTGGGGGGCGTCGGCAAGTACTGCGCCTGCGCGGCCACGCAGAGCCACGTGTACCTTGGCCCAAAGGAAATGGACGTGACCTGTTTCATGAACCGACTCAAGGGGGGTTAACTGAGGGAGGGGGGTTATCACCTGTTAATTTTGGTCTTTGCTGATCGTTTGCTCAAAATCGACCTTGTGGTTTGTTGGTTTTCTGATTTGACATCACTCATTTGCCCAAAACCGATCTTGGTAGCTTCGCAGTTTCCGGCTTACTCGTTTGCCCAAAACCGACCTTGGTGCCTTCACGTTTTCCGGTTTGGTTTCATTTGAGGCAAGGCATCCGCAAAGTCAAATTGTTGATCGATTTCAGTTTATGTCAGTTTCATGTTCTATTTAGGTGTTTTTGTTCCTGGTGTTTGTTTTCCTGTGCTATTTTGCAGGCGTTGTGCTTTTTTGGCCAGTGAGGTACTGCCCCCCCAACCACGCCCGACAGGTGCTGAGCATTTGCCTGGCAACCAAGCAGGTCGAGCTGATAGGCCGGGAAGTCAAAATACATTCGCGAGATCCTGCCAGATGGTTCTTCAGTGCTTCTCTTAAATGCGACTCGGACCCCCTCTTGGTTATTATTTTCAAAGGAAACCCAAAGGTAACACTCAAAGCCCTGGCAAGTGATGGTTAGGGGCAATCGTAACCACAAATAGGTGTGGATGTCCGTGCTAAGAAATTTTCATGGTGATAGGTATCCTTTAGAACCAGGTGTTGATTGTGACTCAGATGGTTCTAGTCTTTTGTCCTGATTATGGTTGGTATTACAGTGTTTATTATGTTAGTCGTGTATCCATGTGATTGTGTATATGTTGTTTGCATGTTATGTGTTCTTATCCTGTTTCGAAGATGGTTTCCACTCCCCCCAAGCCACAACCCATCCTGTACCCACATTTTCCCATGGGTTAGCGGCTGGGGGGGTACTGGAACCGCTTAGGTTCTAGGTTGGGCAAAATCAATCCATATTTCTTCTGCCAGATGGTGGCAGCTTCCCTTGTGCTCTCCCATTACAGCTTTCAGATTGGGAAAACAATCAGGATCCCCTCACCCCACCCCCCCATGTCGCCCAACTCAGTTCAAGCTGAGCCAGTGCAGCCTCCGACAGGTTAGAAGCATCTCGCATTTAGGCTTTGCCAGTGTGGTCCTTGGACTACTTAGATAGTGTATGAGTCGCAAGCTGGGCAACAGGAGAAAGGGGCGCGCCAAAGGAACCCTATGCCTTTTTTGGATTTCTCAAGATTGTGCCTGTTTGTGGTTATTTTAAAGGGAAGCCAAACGAAAAGCTGGCCACTTGTGTTTGGGGGGTGTAAGTTTGCTTCAATCGGTGGCTCCCATTTAGTTACTGTTTCGCTTTAAAGCAGCCAAGAAGGATTCCAGCTCCAAACCCAAATAGGGCAAAGGCAATTTTCTGAAGCCCTCAAACTGCAATCACTTCAGGGACCCAGTTCAATCCTCGCCCTATTCAAATTTTGCTGCCCCCCAAACGGGAAGTCTGAGAATCACTGGGACCAGCAATTTAGGTAGTGTAATCAGGTATGTTTTACCTCTAGGTTGTACATGACGCTTTCCGTTGGGAGGTTGTACATAGCTACCTCTACGCAAAAAAAAATGGCTGCGTAAAGGGCATGAATCCACACCGAAATGATGCCCACCAAAGGGTCGCTAATTGAAGATTAATTCCCACTTGGGTGTGTCGTTCTTTAGGGTCCCCGTTTCTGGTGGTTTTAAAGGGAAACCAAAAGGAGAACTGCCATTTTGGTGGCTCCCCCCCCAAAAAAATAAGAGACCCGGCAACGGTAAGGGTTCGAGAGGCCCAGATCTCAGCTTCGGTGGCGGTGGCGCCTACGTCAGCGCCGTGTGCGGATTGGACGGCGTGGTGCACTGCCCACCCTTCGGCGCCCCACGGGCGCTACGCATTGCGGAGGACGGGGGGTTGGACAAGAAGCTGGTTGAAACAACATGGGAAAGCGGGCTTGAGGTTGCCGGATTCTGGGGTGTCTCCAGTTTTGCTGAATATGTTGGAGTAGACTAAATATGGAGCAAAATCCGAAAACTTTGAACAACATGGGAACTCAGACTTGAGGTTGCCAACAACCTGCCACAACCGTGACATCACCCCCTTGCCACCTTTCAAGAAAAGACACGTGTTTTTGTTCCATATGATTTGCCG